CGCGCCCGGTGTGTCCGCAGGAGCCGGAGGCGGCGGCTGCCCCGCGGGCGGCAATGACTTGCAGTGGTGCTTCTCGCAGGTCAAGGGGGCCATCGACGAGGACGTGGCGGAAGGTAAGGCCGCGCACCTGGCGCGGGGGCGGGCGCGGCTCCTTGGGGGCAGCCGCGTCCCCCGCCCCGGGGACCCCGTTCTGGCGGGGGCGCCGGGCCGGGGGCGCCGAGGGCACCGCTCGGAGCGCGGAGGTCCGGCCCCCGGACAGGGAGGCGGCCCCGAGGGGTTATGTAAGGAAGCCAAGGTCACAGAGCCTCGCGAGGACTCGGGTCTCCGGGGTGGCGTGTGGGTGCCTCCCGGCGCCGGGGGCTGCGGAGGTGCCTGCGGGAGCCGGGCACACGGGGTCGCGGCAGCGGCTGGGACGCGGCGCTGGGAGGGTCGGGAGGCCGCCGCTCGGGAGCCACCTGCGCGGGCACCACCTGGGCGAGCCGTGGTGCCTCGTTTTCTTCATCTTGGAAACCGGTCGGCTGGGCTGCCTGATCCTTACGGTCGTTCTGTAAGGTTCTAGCGTCGTGGGCTCGTCGCCGGTTCCTTTGCTCCGGCGATGTCCTAAAGTCCCCTGCGTTCTGCGTGGTTGTTTCCTGCATCGAACGAAGCCTGAGATGAGCCGGGGGGCACAGCGCTCGGGTGGCAGGTGGCGGGCGGCGGGCCGCGAGCGCTGCACGGCTCCCGCCCCCGCCCCCCACCACGCCGCCCGGGCTCTTCCAGTAGGGACGGCCGTTCTTTCCCGGACGTGATGTGTGGGGACTCGGAAACTGGACATCCCAGGTTTACAGGCTTCGTTTTAGGGGACGTCGTGAACCTTTCGTCTGGTGGCAAGGCCTTGTCTTTGCCTGAAATACACCCCGCCTTGCCCCAAGCCCCCGGTCGCGCGTGTGCTGGCGCGTGTGCTCACCTGTCCCGATCTTGGGCCCCTCCCACGACCCTCTGCTCCTTCTCCCCTCCCTGGTGGTGCGACACCGGGAGATGTGTGGCCCTGAGACTGACAGAGTCCAGACTGTTAGGCAAAACTGCACTCGAAGAAATTGGTGAAGATGCGTACGATTTGAGGATGGAAAGTTGGTGGTTTTATGGAAGTTAAATAACTCACCGGTTGTGCCTTTTATATTCATTTAAGATATATTTTTATTTTATTTGGGCCAAGTGGGTGACAGTTGAACTTAACATTTTTAGCAGGAGCAAAGCAAAACTTGTTTGTTTTGGGGGGGGAGCCTAATGCCTGTTTTAATTTCTGATTTTCCTTTTCTGAAAAAGTTCTGACAAACGGAATGAGTTTGTCAAATTCCGACTGAAATGGTGTCTTTTAAGTGTGATGTTACACTTTGAGAATGGTGCCCTTAAAAAACTTCGCAGAGGGGTGCCTGGGTGGCGCAGTCGGTTGAGCGTCCGACTTCAGCCAGGTCACGATCTCGCGGTCCGGTCCGTGAGGTCGAGCCCCGCGTCAGGCTCTGGGCTGATGGCTCGGAGCCTGGAGCCTGTTTCCGATTCTGCGTCTCCCTCTCTCTCTGCCCCTCCCCCGTTCATGCTCTGTCTCTCTCTGTCCCAAAAATAAATAAACGTTGAAAAAAAAAAATTAAAAAAAAAAAAAACTTCGCAGAGATAATTTTGCTGGTTGAACGGAATCGGGACTGTTTTGCAGTTTTAAATCCCTACATTAAAATTTGAACGTACCTGGAAGTTTTGCGTGGCACATTATCTTTTTCTGGTGAGATTTCTTTGTGGTAATCACTCAGGAATTTTTCAGTCCGCGTAGGTGTTGGGAGCTTTTTCCTGTGACCCACACAAGCTTTGACCGGGTAATCGGTCAGCGCGAACACTCTTAGAAGTGTCCTTTCTGTCGCAGAGCGGGGACGGTGTCTGTCGAATTGTATTCCTTGCGCACAGTCCGTGGTGTAGGAAACGGCATCGCTTCCAGCTAGTGGTTGTGCAGCGCGAAGAACCGAGCTTGTCGTGTCCGGACTCAACCAGCACAAAGAAGGTGCCGAGAGGTCACTGAGGATGGGTAATTGGCAGGAGGCCGTCGTGCGTGGAGACTTGGGTTCGAGAACTCCACGGCGGTAACCTTTATGCGTTGAGATTTGTGGCTCGCGCCGTTTGTCCTGGTCCGGGCTCTACCTGGAAGCGCCTCCGTGACCCTGCACTTGTCTTTGTTGGAGGTGGTTGAGGTGGATGGAGGCCAGGGCCTCGCCTCAGTTGCGTGAGAAGGTTCGGGGCTAAACACTCGAGTGAGTACAGGGGAGAGAGGCTTTCGCCTTCCGTTTCACTTTTTTTTTTTTTTTTTTAACGTTTTATTTATTTATGAGACAGAGAGAGACAGAGCATGAACGGGGCAGGGGCAGAGAGAGAGGGAGACACAGAATCGGACGCAGGCTCCAGGCCCCGAGCCATCAGCCCAGAGCCCAACGTGGGGCTCGAACTCGCGGACCGCGAGATCGTGACCTGAGCTGAAGTCGGACGCTTTAACCGACTGAGCCACCCAGGCTTTTTTTAAAGATTATCTTTAGGTAGTCTTCACACCCGCTGAGGGGCTTGAACTCCAAACCGCGAGATCAGGAGTAGCCTGCTGCGCCGAGTAAGCCAGCCGGGCGCCCGTCTTGGTTTTTCAAACTAGTCGTGTGCGGGACTGGAGTCACCACCCCTGAAGAAAGTATCGTACTGTGTAAAACGCAGCGGCTTTTTCTTTTCAAAGCGTGGGGTTCTGCTCACGCGCTCAGCTCCCGGGAGCAGGAGTAGAGCTGGGCTCGAAAGGAAATTGGCAGTTCTCCTGCTGGTGACAGGATGCGGGAGTGACAGTCACTGCTCCTTCCCCTGCAGCAAGCTGACGTCTTGCAGGGAAGCCGTCACCCCCTGTGGTGGAATTCGCGAACTTTAGGCCCAGATGAGCCGGAGTCCAAGAAGTAAAACCCAGGGTTTGCCAGAGGAAGGGAGAAGAGACGGATCGTTAGCTTGCGCCTGCAAAGCTTGATGCTCTAGGCAGTGGCTGCTGTGCGGAAGCTGTTGGGTGTTTGTCACGTTTCCGTGTGTGGTGTTTGGTCACCATGGCCCCGTCCCTGGGCCCTACAGCCCCTCTTGCACGACCTCACTGGACGGATGCCTTTGGCAGATGTCACGCGACATCACGGTCGTTGGCCGGCCCGTCTCCTCAAGCTCGAAGGCCGGCTGGCCCCACACACGCCCCTCGTGGAGGACCCGGTCTGCGGTGGCGACAGCTACCAGACATCGAACGCCGGTCACGCACGTTCCTGAGACTGCGCCGAGCTCCCTGGGGCCGCGAGTCCAGTCTCCACACTGCCCTTGTTCTTCCCGGTTTCGGATGCAGAAGCCAAGGCACGGGGAGGAGGGGGGCACCGACCTTGGTCAGCAGCCACCGCGACCGCAGCCAGGGTTTGAAGCCAGGCCGACTGGCTCCAGAGCCCGCGCACGCTGGGCTGCTTCGGTGACCATTAGTGGCGGTGCCGATGCAGTCCTCGCGTGGGATGTGGCTGCCAGCCTCCGGATTGCTCCTCCTAGAGCTCGGGGGAGAGCTCTGTGGCAGGAATTGTAGGGAATTGCTTCTGAAAGCAAATGAAAACGAGATGCCTTTAAAGGAAGCGCCTGTCAAAATGTCGGAAGCTTAGTAACCTTGGTTAGAAAACGGCCATTAAAGAATAGATGTCACAGAGATGGTACGCTGGTCAGTGACTGAAGCACCTGCGCACCCAGCCCACGATGTGGTCATTTTGCCTGCCAGGTCACCTCGACGGGATTGGAGCTGCCTTCTTGCAGGGAAGGTTTGGGTCTTGCTGCCTTTGCCTGTTGCTTTTCTAAACAGACGGGGGGAGGGCTGGAGGGGGGCTTTGTGATGAACTGTTATCTGGTGTTATGTGTAGCTTTTTTCATCATGGGTGATTTTACAGGTTTTCTTCACATTTATTTTTTGAGAGACAGCATGAGCAGGGGAAGGGGAGACACAGAATCCGAAACAGGCTCCAGGCTCCGAGCCGTCAGCACAGAGCCCGACGCGGGGCTCGAACTCACGGACCGTGAGATCATGACCTGAGCCGAAGTCGGGCGCTTAACTCACTGAGCCACCCAGTGCCCCTCACGTGTCTTGCCTTTTTACTTGATGATTTTGTTTTAATCCATGATCTGGTCTGTGGTCTTGAGTTGGATGTTAATCTTTTTCTGAAAAAATAATATTAAAAAATACTAAAAGGTTTATCTTTAACTCAAGTCTGGGTAGTTACATAAATCTTGTGGGTATTTGGGTGGTGTGGTAGGGCCTTTCTAAAGGTATTTATGTAGATATATTGTGAGAGAGAAAGAAACCTTTAAGTTGGGGAAGGGAAACAAAAATTAAGGGCACTAGGACATCAGTATAAGATGTTAGTGTGTTTTGTTGAATATAAGATACATCTGATTTCAAAGATGTTAACTTGTGGTAAACTGCTCCCTGGAATCAGTGAAATCCAGTATTTGTGAATGCACAACGTTTCAGTCATATTCATTATTTTTAGAGTATTGTGGGTTTTGTTTTTCCTATGTGCAGAAAATGAGCATTAAGTATATCTATGTCATTGAGAAAGGCCTTCAGGAAACATCTTCTGGGGGAAAGCCATCAAACAAGAAAATGATCTAGTAGCATTCTTGCTGTTTAATTTAGTAGAGAGCTTCATGGGGAGATTCTGCTATTAGGAAATCAGATATGGGTGGTTTTCTTAAAATTAAGGCATTTAATGTGTTTATGAGTACAGCTACATTGTAATGCTTCTTAAATCAGGCTGCATGTTCAGGAAGCTGGACTGATCTTAGTTATAATCAGCTGTAAGTATATTAAGATTTACAGTAATATGAAATCATATGCCTCGATTTTTTTATTCCTTGATTTTAAAAGTCTTGTTTTGATGAGTTCTGGGTTTAGTTCACGTCTGCCATTTGTCAGGTGTGAAGGCACTTTCTGAACCTCAGCTCCCTTATCTAGAAATTACCAGAGAAGGTTTTTGTCAAAGTCAAACGGTGTGCAGTGCTTTTGTTGCCTGTAAAGTGTTGCTTGAATGTTAAGTACGACTGTTAATTAACTCTCATTTATTTTAAGGTCTTTGGGTTGGTTGTAACTAAATTTAGACATAAAATAATAGCAGTTTCTTGTTTTTTCCTGACCTCTCCCCCATCTGTTCATCCACCCTGGATCCCTTCGGTTGGGTCTAACCTGGGTTTTTCCATTATTATTCAGTCCTCCTTTCTTGATCGTATTTTTTTTTTAAGTTTATTTATTTATTTTGAGAGAGAGAGCACAGGCAGGGGAGGGGCAGAGAGAGGGGGATATAGGATCTGAAGCAGTCTCTGTGCTGACAGCAGAGAGCCTGACGTGGGGCTCGAAGTCACGAACCGCAAGATCATGATCTGAGACGAAGTCAGATGCTTAACCGACTGAGCCACCCAGGCATATTTCTTGTTTATATTCTGTGTCCCTTGCTGAGGTTTCTTGCCCAACTTAGGATATGCTTTCTGTTTCCTGTCTACCTTCACACCCTACCAATCCTTATCACATTCCACTTTCTTTATGAATCACAGCTCAACCACTTTTTTTTTTTTGTAGAACTTATTTTTTATTTACTGAGAGAGAACGAGCATGAGCAGAGGAGGGGCAGAGAGAGAGGGAGAGAGAGAATCCCAAGTTGGCTCTGCACTGTCAGTGCAGACCCCAACATGGGGCTCGAACTCAAACTGCGAGAACATGACCTGAGCTGAAATCAAGAGTCAGACGCTTAAGTGACTGAGCCGTCCAGGTGCCCACCTGCTCAGCCACCCTAACACCTGGTATTCTGTCTTAGGATGTGACCTTTCTTTTTACTTAGCATATAGTGGTGTTTGGCATTTAGCAGTGTCCTCTTGTTCTCCGGTTTTATCATGTGTTGGGCTTGTCTCTCCAACCTGTGACTCGGTATGGAAAGGCATTGGTACAAATCCCTTTTCAGCCCTCCTACTAGCTTTGTGTTAACTTGACTGGTTACTTACCTTCTTTCTGGCTTTTCATCTGTAAAGCAGAGGTAGTATACCCTGTGGCCATTACAATTTGTTAGGAAGATTCCACATAAATGCAGGGAAAGCTCTGGCAAACAAGCACACGGTAACTGATAACTGTGGAAACGTTCTCTTACGAGACACTCCTGCAAAGGAGAGTAAGTTGCTCCATATTGCCCCAGGGAGCCCATGTAAGAAGGGGAAGGGTGTTGGAGGGATGGCTTTGGGCTGTCTTCATCTGACACTTGACCAGTGCCCCGGAGGGCTGCTTCTGCTGCTGGATATTGGAGTAGAGAAACCCACTTCCTACCTCGAGAAGCCCTGTGTTGAGACAGACTAGCCCTCACACCATCCCGAGAGCAGAGCCGGGACGGGGATGGGGACGTGCCGGAAGTGCCCAGTGGTCCTTGGGTGGGGAGTGACGGGGAAGAAGTTGGGGGGGGGGGCGGGAAGGCGGTGGAGAGGAGATTGGAGAGAGCCTGGTGCATTCTGGGAAACCTGAGTGCTTGTCCAGGGGCAGAATGGGAGGGCCAAAGAGTGCTGGATAGCAGCCTCAAGCACCGTGTTGAGAACTTGGAATTGTATTTTGAAGTGATCGTGATCACAAGCCTTTAAGACTGTAAGCTGAAGAGTGACATCAGCTTTACCTTTTTTAGGAAGGTCACTCTGGCCTTGGGAGAATGGTTGGTGATGGGGTAAGAACAGAAGCCAGTAGGAAGTTGCTGCGATAATAAAGGCTGGAAACGCGGGCTTACTCTAAATCAGAGGTCTGCAAATTTGTTTTTTGTAAAGGGCCAAAAAGTAAATATTTTGGACTTTGCAGGCCCGTCTGCTCCTGCTGCAACCACTGAGCCCAGTCTGTCTGCCCGTGTAGCTGGAAAGTAACTGCAGACCCCACAGAACAAGGGGGTAAGGCGGTGGGCCAACATCTCTGTTAAAGCAGCGGAGGCTGGACTTCGTGTGAACCTCAGGTTGTAGTTTGTCAGCCTGTGTGCTAAC